TCAGTGTATATACACTGAGTAACATACACCTCTCAGTGTATATACACGAGTAACATACACCTCTCAGTGTATATACACTGAGTAACATACACCTCTCAGTGTATATACACTGAGTAACATACACCTCTCAGTGTATATACACTGAGTAACATACACCTCTCAATGTATATACACTGAGTAACATACACCTCTCAGTGTATATACACTGAGTAACATACACCTCTCAGTGTATATACACTGAGTAACATACACCTCTCAGTGTATATACACTGACATACACCTCTCAGTGTATATACACTGACATACACCTCTCAGTGTATATACACTGAGTGACATACACCTCTCAGTGTATATACACTGAGTAACATACACCTCTCAGTGTATATACACTGACATACACCTCTCAGTGTATATACACTGACATACACCTCTCAGTGTATATACACTGACATACACCTCTCAGTGTATATACACTGACATACACCTCTCAGTGTATATACACTGACATACACCTCTCAGTGTATATACACTGAGTGACATAAAACCCTCCAGTGTATATACACTGAGTGACATAACACCTCTCAGTGTATATACACTGACATACACCTCTCAGGTATATACACTGACATACACCTCTCAGTGTATATACACTGACATACACCTCTCAGTGTATATACACTGAGTAACATACACCTCTCAGTGTATATACACTGACATACACCTCTCAGTGTATATACACTGAGTGACATACACCTCTCAGTGTATATACACTGACATAACACCTCTCAGTGTATATACACTGAGTGACATACACCTCTCAGTGTATATACACTGAGTGACATACACCTCTCAGTGTATATACACTGACATACACCTCTCAGTGTATATACACTGAGTAACATACACCTCTCAGTGTGTAAAACACTGACATACACCTCTCAGTGTATATACACTGAGTGACATACACCTCTCAGTGTATAACACTGAGTAACATACACCTCTCATGTATAATACACTGACATACACCTCTCAGTGTATATACACTGAGTGACATACACCTCTCAGTGTATATACACTGAGTGACATACACCTCTCAGTGTATATACATTGAGTAACATACACCTCTCAGTGTATATACACTGACATACACCTCTCAGTGTATATACACTGACATACACTTCTCAGTGTATATACACTGACATACACCTCTCAGTGTATATACACTGACATACACCTCTCAGTGTATATACACTGACATACACCTCTCAGTGTATATACACTGAGTGACATACACCTCTCAGTGTATATACACTGAGTGACATACACCTCTCAGTGTATATACACTGACATACACCTCTCAGGGTATATACACTGACATACACCTCTCAGTGTATATACACTGACATACACCTCTCAGTGTATATACACTGAGTAACATACACCTCTCAGTGTATATACACTGACATACACCTCTCAGTGTATATACACTGAGTGACATACACCTCTCAGTGTATATACACTGAGTGACATACACCTCTCAGTGTATATACACTGACATACACCTCTCAGTGTATATACACTGAGTGACATACACCTCTCAGTGTATATACCACATATGCCTTACACATGAAAAAGCAACATAACCAACATGAATATGTAGGAAGATCTCTCAATGTTACGTCATGTAACGTAAGATGGAGAGGGGGAGGAGGAGGGGGAGAGGGAGGATAAAGTAAGAAAAGGGAAGAGATACACCCGGGGAAAGTGGAGAGAGAGAAATAGACAGAGATAGACATATATATATAATATATATATATATTATATATATATATAAATATATATATATATATATATATATATATATATATATATATATATATATATTATATTATATATATATATATATATCAGTAACACCACTGCGCTAGCCAAGGATTCGAACCCCTGTTGTTCTGGCCTGCCTCATGGTAAGCGAGAACCACATGACGCTTTAAACCAGTACAACATGGGTTCGAATCCTTGGCTAGCGCAGTGTTGGTATTGGTCAATACCACTCGTTCGTGGTTACAATAATATATATATATGTATATATATATATATATATATATATATATATATAATATATATATATATATATATATATATATATATATATATATATATATATATATATATATATTATATATATATGTGTGTGTGTGTGTGTGTGTGTGTGTGTGTACTCACCTATTTGTACTCACCTATTTGTGGTTGCAGGGGTCGAGTCACAGCTCCTGGCCCCGCCTCTTCGCTGATTGCTTCTAGGTCCCTCTCTCTCCCTGCCCCATGAGCTTTATCATACCTCGCCTTAAAACTATGTATGGTTCCTGCCTCCACCACATCACTTTCTAGGCTATTCCATGGCCTGACTACTCTATGACTGAAGAAATACTTCCTAACATCCCTTTGATTCATCTGAGTCTTCAACTTCCAATTGTGACCTCTTGTGTCTGTGTCCCATCTCTGGAACATCCCGTCTTTGTCCACCTCGTCTATTCCGCGCAGTATTTTATATGTCGTTATCATGTCTCCCCTGACCCTCCTGGCCTCCAGTGTCGTCAGGCCGATTTCCCTCAACCTTTCTTCATAGGACAATCCCCGTAGCTCTGGGACTAGTCTTGTTGCAAACCTTTGCACTTTCTCTAATTTCTTGACGTGCTTGACTAGGTGTGGATTCCAAACTGGTGCTGCATACTCCAGTATGGGCCTGATGTAGATGGTGTACAGAGTCTTAAACGAATCCTTACTGAGGTATCGGAACGCTATCCGTAGGTTTGCCAGGCGCCCGTGTGTGTGTGTGTGTGTGTGTGTGTGTGTGTGTGTGTGTGTGTGTGTGTGTGTGTGTGTGTGTGTGTACTCACCAAATTCACCTAATTGTACTCACCTAATTGTGGTTGCAGGGGTCGAGACTCAGCTCCTGGCCCCGCCTCTTCATTGATCGCTACTAGGTCATCTCTCTGCTTCCTGAGCTGTATCATACCTCTTCTTAAAACTATGTATGGTTCCTGCCTCCACTACTTCACTTGCTAGGCTATTCTACTTGCTGACAACTCTATGACTGAAGAAATACTTCCTAACGTCCCTGTGACTCGTCTGAGTCTTCAGCTTCCAGTTGTGACCCCTTGTCCCTGTGTGTGTGTGTGTGTGTGTGTGTGTATAGAAAGAGAGAGAGAGAGAGAGAGAGAGAGAGAGAGAGAGAGACAGACAGACAGAGACAGAGACAGAGAGATAAGTTGCGTATCATTGGCGTAATATAGGATAAGAGTCACTTACGCAAGACACGAACAGTCTGGTAAGTGTTCCCTTGTACCGTCAAGTGTTGTAATACACTTCACCAGTGGTACCTTCATCTCTTTGAAGGGCTCTTCATCCCAGGAGCTGGAGTTATCTTATTATCAGATCACTACAATCCCCCAACCTCCCCAGAAAAGCGTCCCTTGGGTCACTCTTTACCCCAGCAAGACCTGGAAGTGACAGAAAAGCGTCCTTAGGTCACCAGAGGTCACAGATAGTGTCCTTAGGTCACTACAAGTCACAAAAAGCGCCCTTAGGTCACTAGAGGTCACAGAAAAGCATCCTTAGGTCCTCAGAGGTCATAGAAAAGCGTCCTTAGGTCACTAGAGGTCACAAAAAACATCCTTAGGTCACCAGTGGTCATAAAAAGCGTTCTTAGGTCATTAGAGGTCACAGAAAGGCGTCCTTAGGTCATTAGAAATCCCAAGTCACAAAAACCGTCCTTAGGTCAATATAAGTCGCAAAAAGCGTCCTTAGATCACCAGAGGTCATAGAAAAGCGTCCTAGGTCACTCTAGCAAGACGTCCTTAGTATGTGTAAATGTATACACAGCTCTTCCACTACCTTCACCTGAACGTGCCCCGGTACGTGCCCCGGTACGTGCCCCGGTACGTGCCCCGGTACGTGCCCCGGTACGTGCCCCGGTACGTGCCCCGGTATGTGCCCCGGTACGTGCCCCGGTACGTGCCCCGGTACGTGCCGCGGTATGTGCCCCGGTACGTGCCCCGGTACGTGCCCCGGTACATGCCCCGGTACGTGCCCCGGTACATGCCCCGGTACGTACCCCAGTACGTGCCCCGGTACGTGCCCCGGTACGTACCCCAATACCTGCCCCAGTAACTGCCCCAGTACCTGTCCCAGTACCTGCCCTAGTACTTGCCCCAGTAACTGCCCCAATACCTGCCCCGGTACCTCCCTAGTACTTGCCCCAGTACCTGCCCCAGTACCTGCCCCGGTACCTGTCCCAGTACCTGCCCCAGTACCTGCCCCTGTACCTGCCCCGCTACCTGCCCCGGTACCTGCCCCGGTACCTGCCCCAGAACCTGCCCCAGTACCTGCCCCAGTTTCATGCCCCAGTACCTGCCCCAGTACCTGCCCCGGTACCTGCCCCGGTACCTGCCCCAGTACCTGCCCCAGTACCTGCCTCAGTTTCATGCCCCAGTACCTGCCCCAGTACCTGCCCCAGTACCTGCCCCAGTACCTGCCCCAGTACCTGCCCCAGTACCCGTCCCAGTACCTGTCCCAGTACCTGCCCCAGTACCTGCCCCAGTACCTGCCCAGTACCTGCCACAGTACCTGCCCCAATACCTGCCCGGTACCTGCCTCGGTACCTACCCCAGTACCTGCCCCAGTACCTGCCCCAGTATCTGCCCCAGTTTCATGCCCCAGTACCTGCCCCTGTACCTGCCCCAGTACCTGCCCCGGTACCTGCCCCAGTACCTGCCCCAGTATCTGCTCCAGTACCTGCCCCAGTTTCATGCCCCAATACCTGCCCCAGTACCTGCCCCAGTACCTGCCCCGGTACCTGCCCCAGTACCTGTCCCAGTACCTGCCCCAGTACCTGCCCCAATTTCATGCCCCAGTACCTGCCCCAGTACCTGCCCCGGTACCTGCCCCAGTACCTGCCCCAGTACTCGCGTCTACGCCTGTAGACTCCCACACAAACCTGTGTGTATACCCACGTTCCTCTCTCTCCCCCAGGAAGTATCCGAGTGGCTGGATGAAGCAGGGGAAGCTGGGGTGGTGTACTTCAGCCTGGGGCTGTTCCAGCAGACCACCAGGATGCCCCAAAAGTACAAGGATACCCTCATGGAAGGATTTGCCCTCCTGCCCCACCGGGTAGTCATTAAGTTCAGTGGGAGGGACCTGAATTTACCTCCCAACGTGAGGGCTTACCCCTGGCTACCTCAGCAAGACATCCTGGGTGAGTATATCTGACCTTTCCCTTGGTGAGTATATCTGAACTTTCCCTGGGTGAATATATCTGACCATTCCCTGGGTGAGTATATCTGACCTTTCCCTGGGTGAGTATATCTTACTTTTCCCTAGGTGAGTATATCTGACCTTTCCCTGGGTGAGTATATCTGACCTTTCCCTGGGTGAGTATATCTGACCTTTTCCTGAGTGAGTATATCCGACCTTTCCCTGGGTGAGTATATCTGGCCTTTCCCTTGGTGAGTATATCTGACCTTTCCCTGGGTGAGTATATCTGACCATTCCCTGGGTGAGTATATCTGACCTTTCCCTGGGTGAGTATATCTTACTTTTCCCTAGGTGAGTATATCTGACCTTTCCCTGGGTGAGTATATCTGACCTTTCCCTGGGTGAGTATATCTGACCTTTTCCTGAGTGAGTATATCCGACCTTTCCCTGGGTGAGTATATCTGGCCTTTCCCTGGGTGAGTATATCTTACCTTTCCCTGGGTGAGTATATCTGACCTTTCCCTGAGTGAGTATATCCGACCTTTATCTGGGTGAGTATATCTGACCTTTCCCTGGGTGAGTATATCTTACCTTTCCCTGGGTGAGCATATCTGACCTTTCCCTGGGTAAGTATATCTGACCTTTCCCTGCATAAGTATATCTGAGCTTTCCCTAGGTGAGTATATCTGACCTTTCCCTAGGTGAGTATATCTGACCTTTCCCTGGGTGAGTATATCTTACTTTTCCCTAGGTGAGTATATCTGACCTTTCCCTGGGTGAGTATATCTGACCTTTCCCTGGGTGAGTATATCTGATCTTTCCCTGGGGGAGTATATCTGAGCTTTTCCTGAGTGAGTATATCCGACCTTTCCCTGGGTGAGTATATCTGGTATTTCCCTGGGTGAGTATATCTGACCTTTTCCTGGGTGAGTATATCTGACCTTTCCCTGGGTGAGTATATCTGACCTTTCCCTGGGTAAGTACATCTGACCTTTCCCTGGGTAAGTATATCTGAACTTTCCCTAGGTGAGTATATCTGACCTTTCCCTGGGTGAGTATATGTGACCTTTCCCTGGGTGAGTATATCTGACCTTTCCCTGGGTGAGTATATCTGACCTTTCCCTGGGTGAGTATATCTGATCTTTCCCTAGGTGAGTATATCTGACCTTTCCCTGGGTGAGTATATCTGACCTTTCCCTGGGTGAGTATATCTGACCTTTCCCTGGGTGAGTATATCTTAACTTTCCCTAGGTGAGTATATCTGACCTTTCCCTGGGTGAGTATATCTGACCTTTCCCTGGGTGAGTATATCTGACCTTTCCCTGGGTGAGTATATCTTAACTTTCCCTACGTGAGTATATCTGACCTTTCCCTGGGTGAGTATAACTGACCTTTCCCTGGGTGAGTATATCTGACCTTTCCCTGGGTGAGTATATCTTACCTTTCCCTAGGTGAGTATATCTGACCTTTCCCTGGGTAAGTATATTTGACCTTTCCCTGGGTGAGTATATCTGACCTTTCCCTGGGTGAGTATATCTTACCTTTCCCTGGGTGAGTATATCTGACCTTTCCCTGGGTGAGTATATCTTACCTTTCCCTAGGTGAGTATATCTGACCTTTCCCTGGGTGAGTATATCTGACCTTTCCCTGGGTGAGTATATCTGACCTTTCCCTAGGTGAGTATATCTGAACTTTCCTTGGGTGAGTATATCTGACCTTTCCCTGGGTGAGTATATCTGACCTTTCCCTGGGTGAGTATATCTGACCTTTCCCTAGGAGAGTATATCTGACCTTTCCCTAGGTGAGTATATCTGACATTTCCCTGGGTGAGTATATCTGACCTTTCCCTAGGTGAGCATATCTGACCTTTCCCTGAGTGAGTATATCTGATCTTTCCCTGGGTGAGTATATCTGACCTTTCCCTGGGTGAGTATATCTTACCTTTCCCTAGATGAGTATATCTGACCTTTCCCTGGGTGAGTATATCTGACCTTTCCCTGGGTGAGTATACCTGACCTTTCCCTGGGTAAGTATATCTGACCTTTCGCTGGGTAAGTATATCTGACCTTTCCCTAGGTGAGTATATCTGACCTTTCCCTGGTTGAGTATATCTGGCCTTTCCCTGGGTGAGTATATCTGACCTTTCCCTGGGTGAGTATATCTGACCTTTCCCTGGGTGAGTATATCTGACCTTTCCCTGGGTGAGTATATCTGGCCTTTCCCTGGGTGAGTATATCTGACCTTTCCCTGGGTGAGTATATCTGACCTTTCCCTGGGTGAGTATATCTGACCTTTCCCTAGGAGAGTATATCTGACCTTTCCCTGGGTGAGTATATCTGACCTTTCCCTGGGTGAGTATATCTGGCCTTTCCCTAGGTGAGCATATCTGACCTTTCCCTGAGTGAGTATATCTGACCTTTCCCTGGGTGAGTATATCTGACCTTTTCCTGGGTGAGTATATCTGACCTTTCCCTGGGTGAGTATATCTGACCTTTCCCTGGGTAAGTACATCTGACCTTTCCCTGGGTAAGTATATCTGAACTTTCCCTAGGTGAGTATATCTGACCTTTCCCTGGGTGAGTATATGTGACCTTTCCCTGGGTGAGTATATCTGACCTTTCCTGGGTGAGTATTATCTGACCTTTCCCTGGGTGAGTATATCTGATCTTTCCCTAGGTGAGTATATCTGACCTTTCCCTGGGTGAGTATTTTCTGACCTTTCCCTGGGTGAGTATATCTGACCTTTCCCTGGGTGAGTATATCTTAACTTTCCCTAGGTGAGTATATCTGACCTTTCCCTGGGTGAGTATATCTGACCTTTCCCTGGGTGAGTATATCTGACCTTTCCCTGGGTGAGTATATCTTAACTTTCCCTACGTGAGTATATCTGACCTTTCCCTGGGTGAGTATAACTGACCTTTCCCTGGGTGAGTATATCTGACCTTTCCCTGGGTGAGTATATCTTACCTTTCCCTAGGTGAGTATATCTGACCTTTCCCTGGGTAAGTATATTTGACCTTTCCCTGGGTGAGTATATCTGACCTTTCCCTGGGTGAGTATATCTTACCTTTCCCTGGGTGAGTATATCTGACCTTTCCCTGGGTGAGTATATCTTACCTTTCCCTAGGTGAGTATATCTGACCTTTCCCTGGGTGAGTATATCTGACCTTTCCCTGGGTGAGTTTTATCTGACCTTTCCCTAGGTGAGTATATCTGAACTTTCCTTGGGTGAGTATATCTGACCTTTCCCTGGGTGAGTATATCTGACCTTTCCCTGGGTGAGTATATCTGACCTTTCCCTAGGAGAGTATATCTGACCTTTCCCTAGGTGAGTATATCTGACATTTCCCTGGGTGAGTATATCTGACCTTTCCCTAGGTGAGCATATCTGACCTTTCCCTGAGTGAGTATATCTGATCTTTCCCTGGGTGAGTATATCTGACCTTTCCCTGGGTGAGTATATCTTACCTTTCCCTAGATGAGTATATCTGACCTTTCCCTGGGTGAGTATATCTGACCTTTCCCTGGGTGAGTATACCTGACCTTTCCCTGGGTAAGTATATCTGACCTTTCGCTGGGTAAGTATATCTGACCTTTCCCTAGGTGAGTATATCTGACCTTTCCCTGGTTGAGTATATCTGGCCTTTCCCTGGGTGAGTATATCTGACCTTTCCTGGGTGAGTATATCTGACTTTCCCTGGGTGAGTTATATCTGACCTTTCCCTGGGTGAGTATATCTGGCCTTTCCCTGGGTGAGTATATCTGACCTTTCCCTGGGTGAGTATATCTGACCTTTCCCTGGGTGAGTATATCTGACCTTTCCCTAGGAGAGTATATCTGACCTTTCCCTGGGTGAGTATATCTGACCTTTCCCTGGGTGAGTATATCTGACCTTTCCCTAGGTGAGCATATCTGACCTTTCCCTGAGTGAGTATATCTGACCTTTCCCTGGGTGAGTATATCTGACCTTTCCCTGGGTGAGTATATCTTACCTTTCCCTAGATGAGTATATCTGACCTTTCCCTGGGTGAGTATATCTGACCTTTCCCTGGGTGAGTATACCTGACCTTTCCCTGGGTAAGTATATCTGACCTTTCGCTGGGTAAGTATATCTGACCTTTCCCTAGGTGAGTATATCTGACCTTTCCCTGGTTGAGTATATCTGGCCTTTCCCTGGGTGAGTATAGCTGACCTTTCCCTGGGTGAGTATATCTGACCTTTCCCTGGGTGAGTATATCTGACCTTTCCCTGGGTGAGTATATCTGGCCTTTCCCTGGGTGAGTATATCTGACCTTTCCCTAGGTGAGTATATCTGACCTTTCCCTGGTTGAGTATATCTGGCCTTTCCCTGGGTGAGTATATCTGACCTTTCCCTGGGTGAGTATATCTGACCTTTCCCTGGGTGAGTATATCTGACCTTTCCCTGGGTGAGTATATCTGGCCTTTCCCTGGGTGAGTATATCTGACCTTTCCCTGGGTGAGTATATCTGACCTTTCCCTGGGTGAGTATATCTGACCTTTCCCTGGGTGAGTATATCTGATCTTTCCCTGGGTGAGTATATCTGACCTTTCCCTGGGTAAGTATATCTGACTTTTCCCTGGGAAAGTATATCTGAGCATTCCCTAGGTGAGTATATCTGACCTTTCCCTGGGTGAGTATATCTGACCTTTCCCTGGGTTAGTATATCTGACCTTTCCCTGGGTGAGTATATCTGACCTTTCCCTGGGTGAGTATATCTGACCTTTCCCTGGGTGAGTATATCTGACCTTTCCCTAGGTGAGTATATCTGACCTTTCCCTGAGTGAGTATATCTGACCTTTTCCCCTGGGTGAGTATATCTGACCTTTCCCTGGGTGAGTATATCTGACCTTTCCCTGGGTGAGTATATCTGACCTTTCCCTGGGTGAGTATATCTGACCTTTCCCTGGGTGAGTATATCTGACCTTTCCCTGGGTGAGTATATCTGACCTTTCCCTGGGTGAGTATATCTGACCTTTCCC